TATTCATAGCTCAATGTCAACGGATGATTTGATTAACTTGATGTTTATGAAACCCTCATGGTTCGAAATTACTAAAATATACCGTAACATCTATTATATCGTGTTCATTGTCATCATTGTCTCCTAATACTTATTCAACGAAGTTTTATTCAAATACTGTAGCAATCCGTATTGAAAAGTAGAAATTATTAATTTAATGCAATAGATGAACTCATTAATTTGATTCGGAATTTGTATACTCACCCATTAGTAGTCAATTACTTGCCATTGAGAGGTTGCAAAATCTGCCAAAAAAATTAGAAATTTCAAAGTGAATGCTATGCAATCTGTGGAATTGAATAAAAACCAGTTTCTCCATAAATGAAGTTCCTATACCTACTCATTTCGTGAACATTATTTCACTAATGTGTTTTTTAATTAATGCATGTCGCTCAGCTAAAATCATTTTTAATACACATAAATTATGATTTTTACTGAAAAAACGCAATGCTGTTCTGATCAAACTCATCGAAAGAAGTTTTAAATATATTCAGTGAATGGTTGTATTAGTATCAGTCTGTTAATAAAACCCACAGGGCCCTACATTTTGCTCGTCCAATGTAATATTTACTAAGTGGTTATAAAGAATAATATATTAATATATTGTAGCAATGCAGAAATAATTCATAAATGGAACGACTGTTTTGCACGCAATGTTCTTTATAGGGTTAAGGTCGATATACGAGACATACTTGTCTAGATTTAGGTTGCCCTATTTATGATTCATCGGAAGACGATCTTTTCTATAGTTGATTGGAATTAGAAATCAATAAGATCTTAAGCTAGAAATTATTCGAAAACTTCGAATAAAGTTCTCTCTATACAGGGTGTCCATAAAGGCTATGTCGTGAATGATAAGGCTGATAGAGTGGGCCTAAATGATGTTACTACTTTATATAAAAAACAATTGAACTTGAAAGTTTAAGAAAAATAATTTCATGTATATCTTTTAAACGTTTGCCATGGTATCGACGATAGTAGGGCAACTCAATTAACTCATATATATGTATAATGCTCCTTTCAATATTGAAACGGTTGCTCATTGATTAGGATTCATACAGGATGAGACGAATGTTCACCGTTTAATGGAGGAATTTTTGACAAGTTTGACATTCTGCCTCCACCGTTTGATTCTCAGGTTTGATTCATTGCGAGATTCCTTCTTATTTTTCTACACTTAGTATACTTTATTTCAATTGATATCTTGTATAGGTACCGTTCTAGACAAAATCGCATTTCAGAAACATACATCCCCAACGGTTCCGAGTTGATAAAAACTCTGTTCATTCAATAACATAATGGTATAGTTACAGTTAACGTCAAAATTGATATCAAATTATTTTGACAGTAATCAATAATTTGGTAACACCATTGATGAGTTCAGTAATGATGAGCATGCCTTATGTATGGACTTGCAGAAACTCTCAAGGTCAATAACTTCGTAACGAAGTGCGATAGACATTTTTTTAGATGAACTGCTAAGTATCAACATTATTTTGGTTCACTCTATAGCGGTCCTATCATTTACGACATGACCTTTCCGGACACCCTGTAAATGGAAAATGAAATCATTTGATTGAACGAGAGTAAAGCATAGCTTTCTTCATATTGATTGGGAATATGCTGATTTGACACCGACTGCGTTAATTTGCTGTTTTGAAAAATTGTATCCCAAAAGCCCCATCAATTATAAATTGATTTTTTATATTAAAGTGCGCTCTCCCAAGGGTACGGGACCCTTTTTCCTGTATTACAACCAAAATTTGTGTGCTCGTCAAGTTTCCCTTCTGGGACTTGACTTTTGATTTTACAACTTTACCTACCACTGTAACCACGGACAGCCACTAGGTTTTGTGATTTTTCAGTTCATTTGCAGACAGCAGAATAATTATTGTTTCTGTAATACTATCGTAAATTTGTGAAGTTTTTACATTTCTGTAGTTTCAGTGAATAAATATTATCATTAGTCGAGGATGTTCGAGGTATTACTCTTGTCGTAACTTTGGCTTACCATAAAGTGAAAAATCGTCGATAGCTTCGTCATCTTTGAATTTAGGATAAAAGTTCTAGAATAGTTCTTGTTCAGAATCAAATTTCCTATCGATTGAGAATATTGAATAATGGGTGTCCCATTTGAAGGAATTGAACTTTTTGACGTAACTCGTGAACGTGATGTTAGTTTTCTGTTTCGCTTTCGTCATCGTAATCAGCAAAAAAATACTACTAGCTTTGTCTATTCAACTGACTGTGGCTATAATAATAACCAAGTTAGCAATAGTACCGACTTAAGTTCAAAAATCCTGTATATAATTACGATGTTCTCTTTTCACAAACCGTTTATTAACAAGAATGACCTAGTTCCAGTAAGAATAATAAAAAAGTTTCCATCATGAATCCGTAGTTTCTGTAGTATTATTATCCCAACTTTCCTTTGCTCTCAGGTTCAATTCGAATTACCTACTCGGAGTAAAACACCATCTCATAATTCATGGGGTGTTCTTGAAAGAAGGCAATTTCGTCTCAGTCTCAATGACCATCGTGACTAATTCATCAGGCGTTGTACATCAAAAGCAGTCTCATAATTTCAGACGAGAAACATATCGTAATTAAAAGGAATGATCAGAACGAATAGAACTTAATGAGATCTAGATCTGGATGGTCCACTTTCGAATTAGGAACGTTCGATTTATTCGTGTGAAATAATCGAAATAGGGTAGACTCGACTAGAAGCTTTTATTTCGGAGAACACTTCACATGAATATCACGAAGTATAACGAAATAGTAATTAGATACCTCACGAGTAATAGAAGACAATTTCCAAGCATACTTTTTTCTGTTCCCGAGATGATTCAGCATCTAGGGAAATTATTAAGCGAAGCGAGAGTAGTCTTCTGTACCGTAGGCATATTTACAATTATTATTGCTAGCATGTGTTGACACCAGGGTGTTGAAATCAGTGAGGGATTGAGCAAACAATAGGTTTATAAATGCTGACAGATTTGGATACCAGAGGCGATCAGAGTGTTGAAACCAGTGAACGTTTGGAGTGGACATACATTCACAAATGCTAACTGATGATGACAGCGCAAACGGATTGGCGCACATAATATGAGTAGTGACAACATCTGAATAGTTAGAATAAATTCGAGAACAACATGGTAGACATAAGGCACATAAAAGCATCCAATAAACGCGGTCATATGAAGAAAATGCTGAGACTATTAAACAGTAAGTTAAACCAAATGAAATGATGTGCACCTCGTGGTGTCCCTTGGGTGGATTCCGCCATGATAGTGTGTCCATTTGGGGTTGTTGGGTTTTCTCTCTTCAACAAAATGACAATATTTCCCTTTTTTCATTATCAGGCTTTAACAACCTTTTTTCATTCCCACGCAGAGATGGCTTAGCTTATTAGGCTGAGGATGGACATATATCTATCCGAAACATGTACTGATTGATTTGATCGTTATTGATGATATCAAAATGTCGTGGAGATGATTTCAAGTATCATTTAGTAGTTTCAAATTGAAATCAATACAGATTCATTTTGCTATTTGCACATCACGCAATAAACAGCTCTCATTGAGAGGCAGAAGAATTCAGGTGCAACCAATTGTTGTCAGCCGAAGAAAACATCGTGAACGATTGTCTTGTTGAACTCGTAGGATTCAATCTGGACGAACGTCCAAATCAGAAATAGCAAAAAATCATGAATTTGATGAGAAACATCGCACAAAACCAGCCTAGCGCTAAATGGCATTGATCCGCTCATCAACCTTCAATATTTCATTTTTATCTTGTTCCTTCGTTTTTATAATTTTCATTTCAATATGGGTTGCGTGCAAGAACTGTCAGATAACCGACCCTGGAGTTGAAACATTGAAACACAACCTGACTCTTCCTATTTGTTTACAAATGATTGAAATAGTTTTTCACAATTATTTTGGCATACGAATCGTCTTTTTCGGCTATTCATCAATTCGCGCATGCCATCACATTGTGCTGTTGTACAATGTACAGGAAATTCAGCGAGAGACGAATGAATCCGGTTGGTACATTATGATTCAAAAGTGAGTACCTACTATAGTCACTCACATACAGTTTTCATTTCGAAATTTGGTGATTTATCTGATTTCATATCGGAATTCCTTCTGCAATAAGAGCTAATAGAAATACTCATGAAACTGGAAGTATGAAACAAGATTGGATTCATGCAATCAAACGGGAGGACTGGTCTGACATGCTGATGAAATATGATCGTGTGTGTTGTAGACATTTTGAATCTATTAGCAGTATTAGTTCCTATTGCATAAGTGGCAGCAGGAATTTTAATGAGAAATGACAGAATTTCATAATGTAAACTATGTGAGATTACTATTTACCTGAAAAATCATATTCCTTCGTCTCTCGATGCATTTTTCGTGTATTGTACAACAGCACAATGAGAAGGCATGCTTGAATAAATGTATAGCGCAAAAAACACGATTCGTATGTCAAAATGAGTTATATATTTGGGATGACATAAATTGATAGCAAATAATAGTCTACTCCTATTTCGTGACATTGACTGAGTTACCATCAATCATAATATATTCCTCACTGCAACCATGATCCTGATATTTCGATTGTGCTTCAGAGGTAGAGAAGTATTCACAATAAAAAATCGAACATACCGGTTGTGCATAAAATGTTGTATATATTTCGAGCGTAACTTGCTCTTATGGACCTAGATGTGTTCTTCTTAGTTACACGCTACGGTCCATAGAAACCTTTTTCACGCCCCCGATACCTAAATAACTATAACTGTAATCAGTAGTTCACATTGCACGAGGCTTGATCACGTTTGGCTTTGAATGAATCGCTTATCATGTTCATCACTGTTCAGTGGAATGGAAGCATCCAATACGGTTCACATCCACCATACAAGAATAAAAATGCTTATCGATAAAATGGAAAAACAGAGTAATATGAATCACATCAACCCCGAGAACATCAACATAATCAAAAAAATCATCGAGGATTTCGAGAACACTGACACCGCCAAAACTAAACACAAACACAAACGTAGCAAAACTAAGAAAATCAGCAGCAGCGACTCGTTTATCCACAAGTACAAAAAATCACAGATCTCGCCAAAAACGACCTACTCTTTAGACGAGAAAAAGAACAAAACGAAGCCGTCCGAAAGCTTGGAGGATTTTTTGAAAAACGAAAATGACGTGTACATAAATTTTTTCGAACACTGTGATATAGAAAACGCTGACGCTAACGCCATCTGGAAGTTCAAAAATAAACAAAGTGTTCTAGAGAACAGTATAAGTGCCAAAAGTGAAGGATGTGTGGATGAGTTCAGAAATTTGCAGGATTCTCGAATCCTTCGAGAAAGAGTCAACAGAAATGTCAAAGAGGTGAGTTGATTCATCGACAATATACAATTTCATGAAACAAAAAAGTTGTGCACTTCATTATTGAACGCTCTGTGATTTATTATGCATTGTCACCCTGGTCGACCCCGCATTTTCTTAGGCGAGAACAAATATTTTACTTCAATCACACGAGTGATAATGTCTGGTCGAAAATATTCGGCTTGTGGTCCATTAATTTTGCGAATGACATTGTTTATGAAAACTTTCGAAAAATAGTATCATGAGTTGTATTCGTATGACTATTTCATGATTGCGACAATAAACGAGTCCCTCGAGAGAGTTGAATGTCAAGAATTGTATCACTGAAAAACGAGGTTCGTTGGTCACGTGTGGGTCAATTCGGCTACTGTATTGGTAGAGCAAGTCCGATAATTTTCAGTAAACAGAAAACATCGCTGAAATACAGAAGAAACCGTGAAAATCTCCGATTCTGATTTGTTCTAGAGAACAAGAGTGGAATATTTAGCATTATAATGAACGTGATCATAATAATCTTGCCAGAGAATTTAGAGGCTCAGCATAATTGGTAGGTAACCTATTTCATCAGTTATTTTGTTATTGATGATGTGAATTCAACCTTCCACAATACGTTTGAAACAACTTATATACAGATCCCTCTATAAAAAACAAATTGAACGCTAGTGTGCCAGTGACAAAAGTTTAAACTAATCTGAATCGATAATGACACAGAAGTCATTGCGCAAGACTGAGGAAAGTAGTATGCCCTGCGTTCATCAACCTTGACACTTCAACATCAATTGATGCATCCAAGAATCCCAAGTGCACTGTAGACCAATCAAATCATTGTCAGAATCATATTTGGAAATCTGAGTATTATACCGGGTGACCCATCAAAAACGTCCCACCCAAGTTTTCTCCGTGGTGATGCAATTAATGAAAAACCACTCGGATTTTAATTTGGTGGGGTGCACCTTCTTCTGTAATTATCATATCCCAAAGTTGGAAACTAGAAGCGTAACATGCACCAACTTCAATTTTCATATAGAACACCCTGTATTTTATTCCATGATTGGTTAATGGTTATGATTGAAAATCCAGCAATACCAAACTCGATTTGATGATACCTCGAATTTCGCAATCGAATATAGTCTTATTCGTCTGAAGAAGTAAATGTTGATGTTTTTGAGGTCGATGGATATAATTTCCCGTTCAAAATTCACAAATCCAATGGCAACTCTAAGTTGGCACCTCCGAGATGGCTTCTTCAATATGACGCCTTCAAGATGGAAGATGTTTTTTTATTTCTCGTCAGATTTGCCTGAAAATGTGTATATTAGGGTTTTTTGAGTTCAGGGATATGACTTCCTGAATCTAATGAGAAGCGACTAAGAATCAGCAAATTCAAGATGGCGTCTTCAATATGAAGAATGATATTGTCTTCTCTGGTCATATTCACCTGGAAACGTAGATTTGGGAATATTTTTGGGGTGGAGGCATACAATTTTTTTGTCTAAATTCGTCAAAACATCGGGTTGACGAATGAGTTTGCCATCTCTTCTGAAATTCACCCGAGAATGTGTATTTGCAGGTTTATTTCGAGTACTTTCCGTTGCTCCTTTGAAAGGAACCATGTTTCTATATTTCACTGCTAAGGCAACAATCTGAGTGGACATCAAGAGATTTCTTTCAAGTCACGGATATTTTTCCGAACGTAGGTATTTCTCGGAGGACGTAAACAGAGCCGATGAATGAACATCCTGCTAGAAAACAATCTCGACAAGGCCCTTGGCATCAAGTTCACGGGTGCTAGCGTCCGCTTGGAAATTTCCTATTCCAGTCATTCTGAGTTTGATTCATCTGAAAAAACAAATATAGGAGTTTTCGGGGTGTGGGAATACTGTTTCCGAATCAGAATTGATGAAATCGAGATGGAACTTCGAAAATGGCGGATAAGTTTGTGAGATCAAGGAATATTGATTGATATCATAATGAGAAATCCACCAGTCCTTTTCACTCTGTCCATCCTAGATATCTTAGTTATGAGATCTAGTTCAGAATATTTGAGGTTGGAGAAAATTTTTTTGGAATAATTTGAACATCCAGGATGACTTTACTGCTTGGTCACATTGTAGACGAAGCTTTTAAACAGACGTCGACTTCTTCCGGAAGACCGGAACACGGATATTTCTCAATGTCCAAATATGTTTCCCAGTGAACGTAAAGAAAGCCAGCGACTGACATCCAGCTGGATGACAATCCAGACAAGACCTCTGGCTTCAAGTTCATGGTTTCTAGCGTTCACATGGATATTTTTCATTTGGATTTCAGTCATTTCGAGTTTGATTTATCTGGCAATGTGAATATAGGAGTTTTTGAGGTGAGGAAATACGAATTCCCAGTCAGAATTGAAGAAATGAAAATGGATCCTTCAAAATGGTGGATAAGTTTGGGTGTTGTTTTTTTTATTTATTCATATGGAAACAACATACATTTCTGAACTTCATTGTACCAGTATATCACCTGAAGAAGCTACTGTGTTAGTGAAACATGTCGTGTGTTTAAGAATTCTGTGGAAATCTTATAGTTTGTGAAGTTTTGTAACGGCCGAGTCAATTCAAAAAAAAATTAGACTTCCTTGCTTGTGATTCATAATGTCACTATCGATGCTTTGAGAATTTAAAAAATTAATTCCCATTTTAGTTGACCTAACGTAATTCCCTCTACCACACTCGGGATAATTTTCGAAACCATTATCGTATGTTTATATATTCTTTTGTTGAAAGCTGATTTGGCTGCAAACTTACTAGAGGAATATAGGCTTCTTCAAGAGCAATGCTTTTAGCGTGGGTTGCTTGTGATGGAATTCCGTTTATAAAAGAGAGATTTTTCATTGTTTCTATTCCACAGAACTCGATCATCATTCCAAATTTAATTGCTTTCATTGTACTGTTTATCAATAAGACGTTAGCATTCATGCACGGATCTGGGATATTCAAACCGCCTCGAGACGAAGACAGAATGATTGTTTTTCTGCAACCGACACAAAAATCGTGCATTCAAATACCAAAATTAGCACTTGAATTGACGTATCTATTAGTGACACAAACATAGGTATGTTGCTAGGCAACACTTTTGGTTCCTAACTAAAAAGGATGTACTAGGTCATCAAGAATAAACAACATGGTTATGGTTGGTTATTTGGGATGGGACGCATAATATCTGATTTGTTTCCGATTTCGGCAGATTCGACATTAGATAGATAGATAGATAGATTTATTTGACAACTTTACAATTAACATGTTTGCTGCAAGTCAAGTAATTTGAAAGGAATCAATGCATACATTTAAAAATATGATTGAAATCCGCTGAAAATTAAAAAAGTATTACATCGATGGTATTCAGACCAACATACACAAAAAAAGTAGAATTGTATAAGCCTAACAAATTCAACATGAATATGAATAAATCAAAAACATATGTATCTATAAAAAATAACAGCACTCTGGCAAGATAAAAAAGTGTCTTCATGAGTCATGAGAAATCTGTGTTAATGCAGATAGTCCTCATCACTATAAAAACACTTAGACAGCAGAAAGGCTTCATTTTTAACTTGAACGATTCATAGTTCAGTACTCTGATTCGATCTGGTATATGATTGTAGAGCTTCAAATTTAGTGAGTTTTTCTGTGACTTTGTCAATCTGTATCTTGGTTGAATGAGATGCTCTGCATTTTTCGCTGGCTAGGCGAAAAAGCCACTTCACGCACGTGTTAAATGCACTATTTTTCCACTAGCGTGTGAAAAAAACCAAATTCTTTTTTTCCGCACTCATTCGAGTGTTGAAAGTTTTGTCCGCACTAGTGCGGAAAATTGTCTCTTTTAACACTTAAATAAGTGCAAAAAAGTGGACTTTTCCGCACGGTAGTGAAAAATAATTTTTTGCCACGTCCAAGAAGTTGAATGAGTTCGTCACTTCTTGTCCGCTCTATATTTTTTCAACTTTACTGGTCGGCCACATTGTAGACGACGCTTTTAAACGGATGTCAAGAATTTTTCCGGGTCACGGATTTATCTCAATGTCCAAACGTGTTTCTCGGTGAATGTAAACAATGCCAGTGAATGACATCCAGCTGGAAGACAATCCGGACAAGAACTCTGGATTCAAGTTCATGGTTACTAGCGTTCGCATGGATATTTTCCATTCAGATTTCAGTCATATCGTCTAATCGCAGAAAGCGTTATCTCCCTGTTAGTATTCGTGATCAAGTTGTCTAACAACGAGGCGATTAGGTAGTCTTTGAGTGCTCTCCAGCTCCAGTGTTATTTGACATTAAAGCAGTGTGGGACGATGAAATCTGATGGACTTTCCACCATGTTTAATTAAACCGAGACGAAACAGAGGAACAATCTCACTGATGAATCTCTCTATGAACATAGTGATTCAGAATCCCTGATTTTCTAGCTATTTCACAAGAAATTCATGATTAATGCCATGCGAGACATTGAATTACATTCTTCCGCAATCTATGCATCGATTCATATAAACGAATATTTATTATTCCAGATTTTTTGGGATTTCCTCTCCTCGTTTCTATAAAATAAAAATATGGATATTATTTCAATATACGTGTAGTAAAGACAAATCAAATGATTTGCCCCGAAATGTCACTGTGTTTAAGGAATTTTCCTATCAGAGAGCCTGAAAGAAATATTCACTAGCTTGTCAATGACAATTTGTATTGAAAAAGGTTTGGAGAAGAGAAATAAAGGTATATAGAAAATATGTCAAATTTGTACTCAGCTTTGGGCATTTCTGGACCGAATCTGCTCCCGTTTTCAACATAAAAAATGGTTATTTGAATAGCAAATTAGTATCTGTCTTGAAACTTTTCAGTTGTCAGTGACAATTGGTGACGTTGGCAATCAAGTGAAAACATCCTGACCAGACTAAAATAATATGATGACCAATACGGTGTGAACATTTTGGTCAACTTTTGTATTGCCTTGACTTGACTTGAATGCAAGTGGCAGTTATTTCATGAGTTCTCATAATAATATTTCATTCCATTTCAGCTAATTTCGTATCCAACTAAAAGATGTTATTCTCAATTTACGAAATCAGGGGTAGTTCGACAACCCATACCACAAAAAATAATCAAATCAAAACAAAGTTAGTAACGAAAAGGAATATTCTCAGATATATATGAACTCGAAAAAATGGATATATAAAAGAAGAAGAAAGAAATACATTGAGAATTCGTATTCTCCATGTGATGAAAGTATTAATTCTTCCTCGGTTTATTCAACAGAAAACAACTACTTTCCTGGCTATATGCCACGACGAATATTGAATTACATTTATTGAACACACACGATAAGGATTTGAAAATAAAATCTTGTGAAGTACAGAATTTGCATTCTCCTTCATATAAAGATATGCATACATATAATATCATTCTGAATATTCAAGTCGAACATTGAATTATATCTGTTGAATATCCAGAAAGAGAGCATGAAAAAACCCTGTATATATAGCTAGGAAGATTTAGTATAAACAACATGTAGATTTGGCAACGTTGTAAATGTTATTTTCAGATCAGACTTGCTGAAAACTTCCTTATAAATTAATCTTCATTGTCATATCGCCACGATTTCTCGAAATATTGGAATTTTGTGATATTTTTTGACGAAATGTTCATTTGTCATATCAACAAAAATAAAGGGAATACAAATTTGATACTATAGGGTCATAGTAGTTTTGAGACGACAAATCGAATGCGCTTAAAATGAACATAGCATTATATTAAAAAAAAAGTTGAGGGCTCTATGGGAAAAACTGTAGAATTGGCAACGTTGCAAATATTATTTTTGGATCCGGCACAACTGATTACCCCTGTATACCAAATTTCATAATTTTATGTCAAGCCGTTGCTGAAATATTCGGCCGTTCCGTTTCTTTTGGGAAACCCTGTATATACAGTTAGGACGTAAAAAGTCCTCCGCCCTCTTCAACCTTTGAACGGAACAAGCTAGCGAGGTCGGGTAAAATTCAGGCAAAAAGGTTCCTCTTTCACTACTATTTGGCATGAAAATGGTTGTGGTCACATGACCTAGTGTCAAGTTGGCACCATCAACTTTTTTTTTTTCATATATAAAGAGGGGTCTCGTGGTACCTTGTTTTGAAGACATTTCGATTCTCTATCCAATTCCGCTTTGTTTGTGCAAAAAATTGGAGGGATGCGGAAAAATCATATGTATAGCATGGGGGAAAGTGTCTTTTTCTCCCTGGGGAGTAAAAGAAGCACTCTCCTCCCTTGTTATACAAAAAGCTACTTTCAGGAACGACCAAAATTCACTGTATGCAAATCTCACCAAAGTTCAAAGAAGCTTTCACGCCAAACTCAAACCTCAAGGGGCAACAAGCACCCTCTCAACGCCATGTTCTTTCATCCCCATCGTCGCAGGTCAATATACGCGACCAAATCACCCTGTATCCTTCAGGGGATGCGCGATTCGCCCCCATTTTCATCCCTTCGAGGTCCAGAGCGGGCCACAGGAGACAGTCAGAGTTCGACTCCAGCGATGGCAGTCGCATCCCTTGTCCTCCCCGTTGTTGCCAAAAAGGCCCCACTGTGTAAGGGGTAGTTTTTCGTGGAATATGTAGTTGTCGGTGATATTTCGTTGCGGGTTATGAGCGGTGAGCTAGAATTGGTAAATAGTCGCTTGGTATACCTTCTACATCACGTACTACACCACACTTTCCACACACTGTTGTACGGAAATCAAAGAATGTTTTTCGTGGATGTAGATGCAAACAAAGGTCCGCATCCAAATGTGTTTACTTCAACTAAATTGTGTTGTTGACAGGAAAGTTTGTATTTGTTGAAGGGTGAATAACCTTCAATTTGACTTGTATCAGAATTATTCATTGTTAAAATGATTTTTGGACAAAGTACAACTTCATTGTAATGCAAATACATAGGGAAAAATTCATGAATGGTTTTACTATCTTGGATCTATGCCAAACGAATATAGGTAACTAGATATCAATGAATATTGAATATTGGTCTTTTCAGATTCAACTGTGATAGCATTGACCACTTGCGAATTCGAATGGTCCTGTACAGTGTGTTTCATTTTGCTGCAACGCAACCTCCCAGGCGATTCTCTATTTTTCAAAATCTATACTTACTCAAGAAGTTCTTCTTGTTTGAGAATTAAGATAGATAGATAGATAGATAGATCTTTATTTAATTAGCAACCCTAATATACATAATTAAATGAGAAGGCATATTACAATATACAGAGATGAAAACTGAGTTGAACAATTGCAGAACAGAAATGTTGAAATGACTATCATGGAATGATACGATGAAAGTAGAATAATAAGATTAAAAACAGTAGAATAACAATAAACGGCAATATAAACATAAAAAAGATAAAATACTAAATAGACATATGGAATATACCATGAAGACCTTACTTAGCTACTTATTTAGGACGAATTCCTTCAAATTAGCTTTGAACTGGATGAGTGAAGCAGATCCCTTCACAGACTCTGACAATTTATTGAACTCCAAAAATCCTTTGTAAAATAGTGAATTCATAGTACTACGATAGGAAGTGCTAGAAACATAGATGTCATTTTTGCCACGCGTGTTATAATTATGATTCTAGGGAATTCCAGGTACTTTTGAAAGTATTCTGGTGCTAAATGATTTACTATTATGTACTGGTACTAGTGGGGGACGTTTCCACGTCAGCAACTAGTCCCCAATGGGACCTTTTTGCAAACCCCAAGTGTTTTCAATGACTGATGTGGTTCGATCAAGAGAGCTGGCTAACATCCTTTTCAGGCACCGCCCATCAGCTCTCTTTTCACAGTTTTTCAGCTGTGTTTTGTAGGCTAGTAATGTACTCACTACCATATGCGCAGTGGCAGGCCTGCTAACTTTCATCGTTAACCCCCGAGACCGAGGTCTACTTAAGCAGCTGGCCCGCTCTCGCGCTCAGCTGGTAGTTTTCCACACCCACCTACATACACCGTCCTACTTCTTCTCTGATGCTCACAACCACATCATCATATCTTTCTGCGTGTTCTGTGTAGGCTTTGTTACTAACTCCATGCGCCACTTTAGGAGCAGCACTGTTAATTGGAACGCAACAGCGAATCGTGCAGGACTATCCCCAGCCGATGCTCCGAAACTTTACAATATTTTATTTAAATAAAATATTGAAAAAAGTTCCTTGCCCGTGCTGGAAATCGAACCCACGACCTACTATTATGTAAATGAGAATCATAGTGAAATAGTACAGTCTGTTCTCCACTGTAAACCAACTAAGAGTCATTAACATTGATCTTATAGGAGTGAAGCGATTTGTTTTCAGTATTATTCTCATTCCACGATTTTGGAGCTTCTGGAGCATATATTCAATTTATTTAAATTAAACAGATATAAAATGGATGAGCAATAATCAAAATGTAGCTGAATGATTGAATTATACACAGTGATTTTGGTCTGCGTTGTCAAATGTTGAGATATTCGAGAGAAAAAAGAAAGTTTTTTTGAAATCTTTTTATAAGTGTACTCAAAATGACTATTGAAGTTCAAAACATCCCAGGTACTTAACATTTGGGACAACTTTAATGCTTTCATTATTAATGTTCAAACGAATATTATCAATATCAAGCCTATCATACTTATATTTTGTTGTGAAGACCATCGCCTGTGTTTTGGTTACATTGAGTTTCAGTTTATCTAAATTCAGATAATGGCTTATCGATACCAAGGCAGTGTTCATTTTTCATTTTTTTTCATTTTTCATTGTTGAAATATCTAACAGAAAACAACTATGTTTTCCTGACTAATATACCAAAGAATATTTGATTATATATGTCAAATACTGAAAATACATAATTCAAGGAAGGTAAAATAAATTACGATAACTATTGTTCAAATATCTGAAAGAAAACAACTACTTTCCTGGCAAATAAACCACAGAACATTGGATTATATATGTTATATATCGAAAAATAATATATCAAATTATGAGAAAATATATTCTCTATAACATTCATCGACAAATTGTTACCTATTTATCATTATCCAGAATCAATTAGAAGTAAATTGATGGAAATATGTTCAATGAAGATATTTGACTCACCGAAAAACAATCATATCCGTGATACAGAAAGACATCTCTAACATACAGATCCTTATGATTTTTAGTCTACTAAACATGATTTCAAGCTTTTGTTCTCATCAGGAGGATCGGATAGTAGTAGTGAGCTAGCTTTGGTAAATGTAGACCGAATGTAGACGCTTGGTATAAAACCTTCTACATCAATAATTACTACATCACACTTCGACACGGAAATCAAAGAATGTTTTTTTGTCGACAAACGTCCGCATTGAAATGTGGTTAACTTCAACTAAATTGTGAGGTTGACAGGAAAGTTTGTTTATTTAACAAATGTTGAAGGGTCAATGACCTGATAGACATCCTTTAAAGGCACTAGTGTATGAAACTTCAATTTGTTTTGTATCAGAATTATCCATTTTTAAAGTAATTTCTGGGTTTGGTACTACTAACTAATAATGAAAATGCATAGGAAAAATTTCATCATTGGTCTTACTTTCCTGGATCTATGCCAAACAAATATAGGTATCAACTCGGGTATCAATGATTATTGAATATAGGTCTATTGGAAAAATCTCAAATTCAAATGTGATTGCACTGGCCAATCTAGTTGCCAATCCAAATGGTCGTATACAGTGTGTTTCATTATGATTCAATCGAACATTTTATTTCTGTATCTCTCAGGCGATTAGCTATTTTTGAAAACTTATTCTCACTCAAGCAGTTATTTTTCTTCAAGTGAAACAGTTTTTCACAAACAGAAATACATTAAGAATTCGCATTCTCTATGTTGAAAATTTCAATTATATCTCGGTATAACAGAAAACAACTACTTTCCTGGCTATATGCCACGACGACCATTGAATTATATCTATTGAACACATACGATTTCTTGTATTTTTGGGTTGTGGACCATGAAGGTTAAAATACAAATATCTCATAGGGTTTACATGCAGTGCGCGAAAAAGGGTCACTTCGCATACTATCATTATCAATGCGCCAACCTTGTCATTTTTTGACGTTGCTATAGAGAAATGAGCTATAACCACACTATATATAAGTATCACAATAATTACTATAATATTAGTGTATTTTTTGCTATTCTACAAAGTAGACTAGAGAGTTTTAGAGTATTTCCTAGTAGCTTTTCACTCATAACAAGTACCTTATAGTGATTGACGTAACAAGTCCGGGTAGACGAGTAGATAAAATTCTAGGTCGAGCCGTAGGCAAGTCCTGGAAGTCTGCGAGTCCGAAAAAATTTTTTTGGGCGTGGGTTTACAAATGGGAGTGTGGGTCTCAGAGGTATAACATTCAAAAATAGCACAGAGGAACAGCAACAAAATTTGAGTCTGGATTATTCATTGAATTTTGGCACTCCGAGTGGCACTCACATCCGCATCTTGAAGGTGATAGAAAAAAGATCAGGTACTATTTTATTCGTAGTTTCTTTTGTTGCTTCCTTCAAATAAAGGTTATAGTTGCGTGTCGAAATATATGAATATCCCTGTAGAAGTTGAAAGTGAGTTGGGATCATTGAAAATCAATGAGCTCCAAAATTTCACATATTGACCAACAGAAGACCTCGAAGACTCCTCGTTGTTGAATTAATTATTCATATGACAAGCTCTGAATGTTCCTTGAACGACATTTGGAAAAGACAATCGCTGGAATGAAAAAGAAAATGTGTGATAAATCGAAGAGTTGTGAATTATTGATAAAGATAGAGAAGGTAATCGATTATAGCATGGCATTCTGATATAGGAACAGTACATACACAATAGCTCGGCTGAGGGAGAAAATATACCTTTTGTATGTTTATGGCGCCCCCAAAATCAATGGAACCTTCAGTGTGAATGGAAATGTGTAGTGAAAGGAGTTCATAGAAATCCCAAAACTCATTTTCTATGTCAATATACTGTATAATTGTTTTCGTTCCATAAATTAATTGCGTAAATCTCTGGCTTCCTTAAAATTCCCACGCACTTTTATATAATTGAGATTACGATGATTTTAATTGCACGCCCTGTATATTCATTTCATTTTATGCTGAATATTGAAAAGAAGACATTTCCAAAATGAGAAACTGACCAACTGACCATTTGATAATCTTCAAACATGTTTCGGTTCATTGCTGTAGAATCTGAAATTCCATTTTTCAATGCCAAATTTGGATTATTCATCATCATTCAAAACCAACTCTGCTCTGAAACATGATTGGATTTCATCAACATCTTGAGGAATATCTCTGCCTTTTGTCGAAATATCGATTAAATTTTGATTTCGCCCACTCCCCCTCCCCGTAATGGAGATTGATCAAATAATTTCGGATTACTTGTCAGACTACGTAGTTCGATTCGATATTACCCTGTTAATTAGATAGCTCTGATCATATCCTTCTTATATCATTCTCATCTACTTTCAAACTTGTATCTGATTGACATTAGAAGGGATTGAGTTCAGGGAAGTAGACAGACGTTCGACTGGATAGGAACTG